CAGGGAGTATTTTGTTCTGTTAATATGTATGTTGTATTGCCTCTCATCTCTCATATACCTAATACAAGATTTTCAAACTTCCGGTTGGCCTTATGCCATATATATCAGTCAATTATAAATAAATTAACTGAACGAATAATATTGGATATACTATACTTTAACGTATAATATAATATTTTTATTATACTAGAGACCCGTCCCGGCTTCGCACGTTGCAATGCTGGTACACTACAGAAAAACTGTGAACGTTGTTTATAAAAACATAGCGGTCCGCTCTGGCTTCGCACGGGTATAACATATATAGCCTATTTAACTCACTGAAAATATTATTAAAATTGATCTAGTAGTTTTGAATTATTCATTACAGCTCGTGGCCCGCAACGTTAAATTTAGAGTAAAACAATTCCCATTTCCCTATATCATGATAATTTCCTGCTATCTTTGGAATATCTAAATTCATACACTACATTTTTACTTATTTACTTTTTAAATTTTTACCTATTTATTTTATTTTTACAACAATTAATATATTACAGAATGTCTTTATATACAACGTTTACAGCTTTCTTGTCATTAGACAGTACAAATATGTTTTCTCTAGAGTTTACTCTTGAAAGAGCGACATACAGTCGGCCATGCGAAAAACAGTCAACGCTCAAATCTAAGCCTGCAACGTTGAAGGTTTGACCCTGCGATTTATTAATGATCATTGCAAAAGATGTCTTTACCGGAAACCGTAAACGTTTAAATTGAAAGGGTAAATGCGATGGTATCAGAGGAATTCGGGGAATCAATACATCTTCTCCGGTACCACATCCCCTGAGTATTGTGCACTCCATTATAAAATTTTTCAGTGATTTTACCAGCAAACGCGTACCATTGCTAAATTTAGGTTGATTCTTAATAAAATAAAAGGACAACAATATTTTGTGAGGAGGGAGTCCAGACGGCTTCAAAGAGTTTAAAAATTCTGTAGGAAAATGAACAGTTTCTTCCAAATCGAGAACAGTATCGACCGAATAGTATATTTTGGTCGACGCAGCAATCTTTGAAAGAATTAAGTTATTTGCCTTATCTACTTGTTCATTAGTTGGTGACAGAATCGACCTTTCTTCAAACCAAGATATTATCTTATAACTTATGTTATCAATGTCAGGATAGACATTGTTAACTAACTCTTGGATGTTGTCTATCAAAACACAAAGGTTTTCTAGGTTAATCCTTCCCTCCTTTTGTATTAACTCTCCATTGCCAACTTTTAGCAGCATCTTTGGAAATAGCCGTACTCACATGAAGATGACAAAACCCTCATATTAGTATTAAGCTCTAATTTATTGACATGTGGCCAAAGGTTGGATCTTTTTAGGGAAGCATGTATTTCATTCATTCCCGTCTTCCAGGTACTATGTATTGATTAACAATGTATTTAAGGTATTTAATTGGATCAGGATTAGTGCTGTATTGATTAAATCGCTTCGAAAATTAGCCATTATTTGTTGTAAAAAGTAAATGATAAAAAATTGTATTGTGGGATATCCATAAGAGATAGGCATATACCATCGCGGAGTTTTCTGTAGACATTTTTAATGTGTACAATACTTAGGACATTGTTTTGATGAATCTCGTAGGTTCCGTATAAGCGGAAAAAATGTAATTACAATATTTACGACATCACATTGGAAGCCTCAAAAAACAACAGCATTTTTACACTAATTAATGGATGTTATATTTATACATATAAATCTTCCTCTTGAATCACTCTATCTATTAAAAAAAAACCGCCTCAAAATCCGTTGCGTAGTTTTAAAGATTTAAGCATACATAGGGATATAGGGACAGAGAAAGCGACTTTGTTTTATACTATGTATTGATAAATGTTTATAAATTTATGTATATAACTATAGTTTTATGCCGAAATAATGCGAATTTAATCTACGAGTATCCCAGCTCCCAAATACTATCTATATTGATTTTCGCTATTCTAACAAACCTTACGCCAAACATGTCGTTCAATGTGTATGTTCCCCAGCAATGCCAAAACTAACTCAATCAGTCCATCCCTTTCTCTGTCCCATGCATAATAATTTCCGACTTTCCACTTGACAAATTGTGTGCTACTTTACTCAAATTAAATAAAAAAGTATTCTTAAATATTGTGTGAGAATATGAATGAAATTTGTCAAAACCTTAAATGTTATCCCTAAGATATGAAAATATATATCATTTGAAGAAGATTTTAACACAATTTTAGCTGACGCGAAGTAAAATATAGTCTTAAAACAAAGTGAGTCTATGACCTATAATATAACTTAATAAAATACAAATTTGATTGCAATCCATTGACGATTTCGTCGAATAATGAATGTTGAACTGTTTCGCAACATTTTTTAATATAAAGTTTTTCTAAAACCTGAAGGAATTTTCTTTGTTTTGATCCTTGCAAGAGTATTAAATGTTCAGTTCCATCCAAACTCAGCCCTTCCTTAATTGTACTTTTTCATAATTCATCGAACGCAGTTCTTTTTTGATATTTAACAGCGTCCAGATAACTGCTTGTGGTTATTTTAAAGACCATTTTACTCCCGTGTTTGTAGATTAAGATTTGTTATGTTTGTCAATTCCCACTATCTATATGAAAATATCTGCAGGTACTAGTATTCTGAGTTTTTATTGAAGAAATCTCACCAAATTCTGATTGTGTTCATATAATTTGTTTTGAGGATGTTGATATAAATGGCCATCTAATTTACTATAATAGGAATAGTTTCTATTGGACTTGGATTTGGTTGATTTTATTTAAGGTATGGTGATTGATATTGCCGGCGAATTGGAGGATGTTGATGTGGACGACCTTTGGTTTCAACAAGATAGCCTTACATGCCATACAGCCAATGACACAATTTTATAATCTCGCAACTTGCAAGGATCAAAGCCGGGTAATTACTTCAGGTGTTCGCAAAAGTTTATATTAAAGGGAGTATTGATCCGATTCAACCAATTTTTGACACAGAACATACTATTATCTGTGGTGGTACACTTTAAACGGCATTGTTCACGCAAAGTTTTACCCCGATATAATCGTTCTTGCTTGATTTGCATACTGGAAAGTGAAAAAATCAGATGATATTTAAAATGATGTTAATTGGGCAATAGGCGTGGTTGTAATCCGATTTCACCCATTTTCGTACTATAACATAGAAATATGAGCAGAATGTTATGTACCGAATTTGGTTGAAATCGGTTAAGCAGATCTCGAGATATGGATTTTCACCTAAAAGTTGGCGGTGCCACGCCCACTGTCTAATTTTGAACGCGGTTCCTGTAAGGTCATCTCATACCATCCCGGAGATAAAACTTACTGTCTCTGGCGTGTTTAGTGCTTGATTTATCGCGCTTTTAGTAATTTTTAACATTACCCGTTATATGGGGAGCGGGCGGAGTTGCCATCCGATTTCAACTATTTTCACACTGTAGGTAGAAATTCTAAAAACATTTACTTCCAGTGAATTTTGTTATTATAGCATTAGCGGTTTAGGAGATATGCACATTAAACCTATTAGGGGCGGGACCACGCCCACTTTAAAAAAAAATTTAACTGCAGATGCCCCTCCCTAATGAGATCCTGTGTACCAAATAACAGTATTGTATCTTATTGCGGGGCTTAGTTATGGCAATTTATTTGTTTTTGATTAATGGCGTTTTGTGGGCGTGGCAGTGGTCCGATTATGCCAATCTGTAATACCAACCGTCTCACGGTACCAAGAAACATGTCTACCAAGTTACATAAAGATATCTAAATTTTTTCTCAAGTTACAGCATGCACGGAAGGACAGAGAGTCACCCGGATTTCAACTCGTCTCTTCATACTTTTCATTTATTTATATACATATAACTCCACATCTATCTCGATTAGTTTCAGGTGATACAAACAACCGTTAGGTGAACAAAACTATTATACTCTGTAGCGACAGGTTGCGAGAGTATAAAAAAGCACCCTTAATTTAATATCTATCTATTGTTAAATACTTGACATAAGAAGGCAGCGAGAGTTAAGTACCATTGAAAGCAGACAGTTTTAGCAGTGTAAATATTTCTTAAAACGCTCTGGGGCTACAAATAACTGTAGTATTTCACTGATCGTTGTCTCTTTATTCATATCGCTGGTTGGTTCTACCGTCCCATTGGTCACTACTACTTTCTTTCTATGCTTTCCATACTCATTTTCAACCCTTTGAAATAAAGATAAGGCAATTACTATCCTTATAGGGCATCTGCAACTACGAAGAGGCTTCTCACAGCTTCTGGAGCTTGAATTGTATAATGTCACCAGCATTTTTTTTAAATATTGGCGACTTGGACGCTTCTTCAATTACTTGGAATTAGTTATATTACATACATGTAACTCTATGTACATATGAAGCTATATAATTTAAGGGTTACATGAGTTTCGCGGCTTAAAAAAGAATTATTATTTTTAAAGTCGTTCGTCAAGATTTCTCCCGAACTACTCAACTTATCTTAATGAAATTTTACACAGGTCCTCGGGATATAATTAAATAATTATAAAAACAAAAAACGTCGAGAAATTTTCACCAAAACTTTTATTTTTTGTAAAAAAGTTTTACATTTATTTTTGATGATCCTATTAGAAGTTCTGCTGTCAACGCGAAAGCACCCTTTTTCCGAGCGAATGCCGGAAATGACATTGCAATGGCCGAGTTTTGATTATTTTCTATGAAAATTCCTAACAATCTTTGTAAAATATGTACATATCTTGAAAGTTTGAATAAAATATTTCCTTTTTTTATTTGAAAACAAAATGATTGAAAACTAAAAGTGGTAATAGCAAATTCACTGATGGTGATGCCGAAAAAAATTCCGGAGTTAACTTATTCCCACTTGTGTTACAAAAAGAAGCAAAAACTTTTTGAAGGTATTGCTGTAAAAATAACCAACCGCCAGCCAGGTACAGCGTTACTCAAAACAATAAAATACAAATATAAATACTCAATACAAAAATATATTTACTATACGTATATTAAACTAACAGTGTGAAGAAAGAGAATAAATTTTATGATGTCACGTCTGAGCGCATCAGCTCACAGAATTCAAGAACTATCCATGTTATCACATCTGCTGGTATTGGAAATAAGAAAATTGTTATAAGAAACATTTGGGCGTGCAAAATATGAAAGTTTCTGTCTTCTTCAAAATTTCATAACAGTTATTAATATGTCGAAAAATCAAATGACTGCCGAAGTGTGTATAAAGATATTCAAATAAAGATAGTAATCCTAAACATTTAAACTTGAGCACAAATATGTTATTTTATGTTTACTTGACTGTCAATTGTTACTTCTAGTATTTGCGATAGGGAGCGCCATATTGTTGTTGTGGTGCCGATGCACGACCTTGCTGCGAGCCATACTGTTGCTGTTCCTCCTGGTATGGATGGGTGCGAATGTACTCCAAAGCTTTGAGGATAGCTTCCGGCACTGGTGGGGGTGTGGGCAAATGGGCGCCTTGTGGTTGGAAGCCATTCTCATCGGCAGTATAAGTGAGCTGAATCAATTGACCTTCCGGCGAATAGTATTGGGAAGAACCGGTGGCATAATGTCCTCCAACACCAGATTCTTGTGCCGCAATGCCGTTGCTAGTTTCGAATTGGTAATTGTAGCTGCCGTCCTCTTTCAGGTCGTTGGTAAAACTACGTATTTCGGCATGAGCATCGGCACTACTGGCAGCACTACCACCACGACCGCCTGCTCCATGTAGCGGGGCACCGTACAGCTCGCTGACAGCGGGCAGAGCGTTCGTCAGGCAGATGGTGAAGGCGCAGAGAGCGACGACGGCGTGAACGAACTGTGTAAATGAAAAAGTGGAAGAATGATGATATTGTTATAGGTACACAACTCTAACTACATACAAACATATATAGGATTCGCTTTAAATATACGCGAGTATTAAATACAGTTTAGTACTTTTTTACTGTAAAATATTCGGAACCTCTGATATATTAAGAACCACATATCCAGCAAATCCAAACTTTTTGCGTACGAATTTTATCAGATTTATTTCGTGGATCTTTCCTGTACCGAAATTATTTATCAAAACAGCCTACACACTATCATAAGGAACATTTTTGTGGATATGACATGATATCCTTGTTTGGTAAATAAACAAGCAAAATAGTAAAATATCATCTTTTTTTTGAAGTATATTCGGTGCAATTTCTCATATTGATAAACAGTGACTTTATTATCATGTGAACCTTTTGTCCGTTTTGTATGAAGAAAATAACTGTTATATTCCCTCGAGAATCAAGATCTCTTAAAATCAAGATCTCTGACAATACTTATCATTTCAATCTACGAATTGTTTGTTTCACAACACATTGTTTCGTTGGTATTTTCAAAAGTGTCCACATGGCAAGCGTCTAATTTAAGTACGGAGGCCGTATAAAATGTCCATATAGCCAAGTCCGTCTGTCCATCTGTCTGACTGCATATACGCGAGTTTTTTAGATATCGGTCTAAAATTTTGCACACGTAATTTTCTCTTTAAGAAGCTGCTCATTTGTCGGAACCGCCGATATCGAAACACTATGGGATATAGCATCCATTCAAACTGATCAATCAAAATTTAAGTCCTTGTATGGAAACTTGTTTAACTTGTAAAAATATATTAATAAAATTTGGCACGGATTATTGCCCAAGGTAATGGTGGAATTTACCAAGAAAGTTTTCAGATCGGACAACTATAGCTATGCCATACAAACTGAACGATCGGAGCCAAGTCCTTGTATGGTACAACCAAAGTTAACGTTTTTTCTTGTTTATAATCACAAAGAAACAATAATAATGGATCACTCTCTGCAGGTCAAACAAAAACTTGAAAAGGGTCTCACGTAATCTTGCTTGTCATTATATCTTGTTTTATTTTTCAGTCTTGATTTTTGAATTGGTTTTTGAATAGGAAATTTCTAAATCTGTCGTGGAAAAGTATTATACGTTTTTTTAGTCTTCTGCCTCCAGTAATATTTATTCAAGCACCCTCAACCAGCAAATATTTCGCACATTTAGTCATTAGCTTTTTCAAAAAAAATTGTAAATTAATAATAAATATTTTATATATTAAAAACTTTTCAATTAAAATTTTTAAAACTAAAATATTATAAAATATATTTTCTTTTATTATTAATTCCTTTAGTACAATTTAAATATTTCATTTTGCTTGTATGTTTCTCCATATCCAGTCCTTACTTTGCAACACTTTATTCATAAATACGTATATATGTAAACTTTTTAATATTTTCATGTTTTTCCAGTACTTTTGTTCAAAAATTTATGTTTTCACTTCTTATTTTCTTTCCTTTTAACTTTTTGGCTTAAAATATCCTATTTGTTAAATATTTCAAATATTATTTCGCTTTTGAAATCATCGCACAATAGTATCCTCTAACTTTGACTACACTTACAATTTTCGACATTTTCTATGTGATTAGATTTGCGATATAACGGTAACGGTTAGCACGTTGTGGATGCTTTAAAATTCAAATTAATTTTGAGTGAACAGCTGTCAACGTATTCGCATTTATACACGAAGATTTTAATTGCGACCCACAATTACTTAAGTGACTAAGCACACGCTTAAGTACATACCTACACGCATACTTAAGCAGAGAGTAGAGTAACTAACTGTCTGTCTGAATGTATATATAATATGTTGGTATGAATGGCTTCACCACGAAAATCGAAAAGTCAAAATCTATTCACAAACTGGAAATCAAAATAGTGGTAAAATAATAATAATTACAAAATACATAACTTGCGAATGTGCATGAGCTTAAAAAGTATGTATGTGCGGTATGTATGGTATTTAATTGTTGTTGCAAGCGCAAATGTGACTTAACCGACACCAACACCGAGCGTTTGGCCTCTTTGAAGAGGAAACAGATTCGTAAGATGAAAAATTGAATAGCGGAAAATCGCCAAATGAACTTGATATGCATACAAGCGAACATAGATACATATGTACATACATATATATTAACGACAGCGACTCATCGAAGTCCATCAGCGGTTTCGCATTCAAATAGCCATAAATTTCAATTTCGATACCAATTTGTTGCTCGCGTTGCTCAGCATGCTGCCCACTGTGTGTGCGTGTGTGTGTGTGTGTTGGGTCACTTTATGCTCACAAGTTGGCAGTAAAATTTTAAGCGATTTGAAAAATGTATTGGCAATCAACTTATTACACCGCCACTACAATAGCAATTCGATAGTGCAATGGTATTAGTGAGTTGCTAATTATTTTGTGGAACAGCAAGTAGATTACAATGTTCATGATGACTTGAAATTTCAAAAATTTTTGGAGTTTGCTCCGTAGTACTGTTTAGAGTTTCCTTTTTTTTTGGTTTTTTATATTTCTCGAATTATTTTTTTTTTACATTAATTATCAGCGCTGTTGGCATTGGTGCAGCTAGTAATTTTAGCGTATAATATTTATGGTATCATTAACAAGTTGGCAAAATGCGAGCGGCATTGCATTGAAGACTCTGCGACATCATGCAAACTGAGCTTGCTAATTAATATTCAACCCACATAAGTTCTTATTTACACACCTACATATACTTCTAAAATCTAGAATTTGCCATTCTAGACATTCTTCAGAAGGCATTGAAATCAGTTTGATTGCTTGAGCGTTTGAACGATTTTGAAAGCATTTAAGACAATTAACTTGAGGTGCAATTTCAGGCTATTTGGATTAACTCCACACTTTCAAAAGTTAGGTGCCAATCACTATTCTTTTCTCCTGATATACTACAATATATGCATTTACATACAATATCTCCAAAAAATTATCGTCATACGTGTCTTGTACATTCCCCCTTGTTGCATCGTAGTAATACGAGTACATGTAACTGGTTACCGGGTTTTCTTCATGAAATTTGGCATGTATTATTATTTAAAGCATTAATCTAATCTCCGAAGAAATTGTATAGATCGGATGACTATAGCATAGAGCTGCCATATTAACTGAACGATCGGAGTAAAGTGCTTGCATGGAAATTTTTTTTATTTGACGAGGTATCTTCACGAAATCAGGCACGAGTTATTGCTTAAGGTAACAAATTATTCTCCACAGAAATTGGTCAGATCAGATCACTATATCATATAGCTGCCATACAAATTGAACGTTCGGAATCAAGTTCTTGTAAGGGGCCTTTGTATTTGTGAAGGGTATTATAGCTTCGGCACAACCGAAGTTAACGTTTTCTCTTGTTTTTTATATGGTTAGTTTTAAGCACCAAACGTATGGATTCAATTCTGGTATAAACAATTATTTTATAAGATTCGTCGCAGTTTTAAGCAATCTGGCTGCTTGTATATATCAAAAAACCATTGGATACTTTATAAATACTCCCCTAAGTTATAGATCATTGTTATGTATTATATGATTATGCAATAAAATACTCATACACATATTATTCACAACTTCTCAAATTCATACACGACTAATGTATATATAATATATAAGTTTATACATACATACATTAATTAATTTTGATTTATCACCTCATGACAGTTTTTGATTCATTAGCTCTTCTTATGGCAAACAAAAAAAAAGGTTAATGATTAAAACTTTGTTGCAAATTAAGTTTAGCTTTCATAAAGCACAAATGGCGTAAATTTTTGAAGGTCTTGTTAGTGAGAAACACAGTAAGCAGCTCTAAAATAATAACCCTATATAACAAAAGAAAAGATCATCGACTATAACCTGGTCGGTATGTAATTTGCAAAGCCAATATAGGGTTTATTGCTTGCTCTGGATATTGATAGTTAATTTTTCGACTAAAGCTTGAATTTTAATTTTTCTCAAACAATATTTCTTTATTAATCAATCTCTATTTTGTCCCCTTCAAAGTAGGCCCCCTCAGATATTATACACTTGTGCCAGCGCCCTGAGCTCTCTCAGCGAATTTTTTTTTTTGGCCTTGCCTATCCTGGGCTTTTCCAAATGGACGCTTGGACTTTGGTTACGATGTCATAAACATATACCCATAATTCCTCACCTGTTATGACCCTTTTGATCAAATCTGAATCGCCGTTGACGTCATTCAAGAATTCCTGAACGATGCTCATGCGACAGTTTTTTATTCAAAATTTAGCAATTTTGGAATGAACTTCGCTGCCATACGCTTCATGCATAGCATGAGCCAACCGATATGCCGACAACTTCAGCAACTTCTCGAATAGGGATTTTTTTTTCAACATTTTCATCGGCGGTTGTTGATATTGGGGCATCCAGGGCGAGCGCCGTCATTGACACCTTCTCGATCTTCTTTGAAAAGCTTATCCACATGTAAAAATTTGTTTGACTTAAAGTACACTCACCGTATGCCATTGTCTCAATTTCAAGTGTTTTTGACCACTTAACTTCATTTTTCACACAAAATTGAATGCAAATTCTTTGATTCATTTATTTCGACAGCAGGAAACCTCCGAACATTCAAAATACGTCTAACTTTTTTAGCACAGCAACATAACAAAATAAAAAAATCGATAATCAAATGTACGTAGCCCACAAAATTCACCTTATTTTTTGAACCGAACTCGTACAAGCAATTTGTGGAAGTGTCACTTCAAGAATGGAAGTATGCTGTATGCTATCTGATCTGAACAATTTCTTCGGAGATTACGTTGTTGCCTTAGACATGGCAGCTATATGCTATAGGGGTCCGATTTCGGCCGTTCCCACAAATTAACAGCTTGTTGGTAAAAGAAGGATAGTTCGCGTGTATACAGACGGACGGACAGACAGACAGACATGTACATGGCTAAATCAACTCAGCTCTTCATGCTGATCATTTACATATGAATATATATTATATAGAGTCTCCGGTGTCACAAACTTCATGGCTAACTTAATATTCCATGTTCGGAGTATACGGCGTTTAAGTAATCGTCGGTTAATTGGTCGACAGATTGAAAAGTTTTTAAATTGAGCATTGAATAAATATTTATTGGTACAAAGTTGTGTCTTGCAAAGCTGGGGTCAGATAGAAAATTGTCAAACAAAATACTCAAAGCAGTTGTAGCTCCTCTTGGTTATTAAGTCGATGATGACGAGAACAAAGATAACGACGATAAAATGCTACTGGAATTGGTCAGTAGTCCAATGCTTTCATTATGTTCAGAGCATTTGTGTTTGCAAAGCAATAGAGCTATTATCTAAGAGCAATACAGTTATGTCTTACGATTCCCTTAGGTAATAGCTCTGTTGTTTTGCCAACACAAATACTACGCATATAGTTGATATACCGCCATAATAAGTTGTATGTTAGATGTAATATAATAGTAGAATTTCGTGATGAATGAGCTTGCGAAAGAAAAAATCGTCGAACATACTACATATAGTTTCATCGTTAACTTCTATACTTACTGCAATTACTTATTATATACAAAATAATATAACATATAAAAATGTAAGAGAAGAGAAGAGATGTATTATACGCCATCTTACGTAGTCTTAGAATATTATATCATGCTTCGTGGGCATCACGTTTTTTTATTCATATATATTTAAAGGGGTCGTCTACCTTTGGTTATAGAAAAAAAACACACAATTATTTTTCAAAACTCAAACCATAGATTTCAGCTGATGTTTAGTGAATCACTAACAATTTACAGATTTCGAATATATTTTATACATTTGTCAGAATCGTGCCAAAACTTACAAAAAAACATTACTTTGCGAAAACGTGGTTAAAGCTGACTAAGCGACGTAAATAGTAAGCGCAGGGCAGAGTTTAGCATTCAATATCGCGTAAACCAACATGCTTTCGATCAAATCCTTTATAGGTCATATTTCTAGTTATGTCTACAATGAAATTATAGAAAAAAATCGATTGTTTCAAACCACGAAGGTGGACAATCACCACCGCCGTGGAAATATCACCACCTCAGCTGCTGACAAAACGGTGTAGTTTAGCATTATGATTAAGAAAACTAATCAACTTAATTTCATTAGTAGCATTTATAGTGACCAACAGAAACGGATATCAGGCATAATATCAGCATCCTTATTATTTATATAGTATACTTCATATATCTCGATTAGTTTTAGGTGTTACAATTACCGTTAGTTGAATAAAACTACTATACTCTGTTGTATCATGTTGCCAGTGTAAAAATATCATAACTGCTTAATAGAAATATATAATAAATGGCGTGGACCTAGAAAATCTTATATATCTCGCTTGTGATAGAAGTAAACTTAACTGGAGATATTGGGCACATTGGGCACGCTCATATGCTGCTTTAAAAATTACTGAAATCTTATTTTCATTAATAAAAGATAACTACCTTTTAATTTCTATTAGGGAACAATACATCCTTTGAGAATCTGGAAACTGAGTTTTCCCCCAAAAAAACCAAGGGAAAAAGGCGTTCATAAGTTGTTGGTATTAAAACGTAAAGAATAGCTTAATGTGTATGTATGCGTGTACGAGCTTCGGGGTTTAAAGTTTCGTTATTGTTGTTGTACCACTACTTAGCTCCGCGCCAATGTGCTGTTATATA